ACAAGGACTGTGCATACACTAGGGCGTCCGTAGTGTAGGATAAGCACTGGTAAAAGGTATCAAGAATAGAGTGTCTTGAGGAAATAGCCGGTGTATGGTTATAGCAAGCCTGGGGGGTAAATTTACCACCCGCTTATGCATGCATTAGGTTAGAAATAGGGGTAAACAACTTGTAACGGTGAAGTACAAGTCCTATGCAGCAAGCAGCAGCCAGCAGCAGCAGCAGCAGCCGCCTGCAGCCAGCAGCCAGCAGCAACCACCAACCAGCAGCCAGCCAGCAGCACCACGCAGCAGCAGCGCAGCATCAAGCCGCAGCAGCAGCAGCACCACCGGCAGCAAGCACCACCGGCAGCAAGCAGCAAGCAGCAGCAGCAAGCAGCAAGCAGCAAGCAGCAGTAGCAGCGGCGTCGTCAGCAACAGCAGCAGCAGCAGCACCAAGCCGCAACAAGTAGCAAAGCAGCAGCTACAAAAGCGGCAACCAGCGGCAGCAGCAAACAGCAGCAGCAAGCAGCAGAGCGGCAGCAGCAGCAGCACCCTTTACACCAAGCCACCGTTACACCCAACCAACCACGTTCACACGTTCAACCAACCCCCTACACGGCGCAGCTGGGAGTTGAACCGCGGGGGGGGGGTTAGCTTGATATATCAATCTTTAAGGCACGCAGCCCCTCCCACCACAACATTGCTAAAGCAAAGAAGAACTCAGCTAGCATGCTAGCTTTCGTGATATGCCGAACACTCTTTCCCAAAAGCATCCAAAAGCTACTCTTAATTTGGCCTTGGGGAAACCCCGCGCGTCTCTTGCATGAACACAGTAAAACTACAGTTTTCGTTCAATCGATCTCAGTTGAACACTTTGCGAAAAGACCTCACGAACCTTGCGCAATGCAGGTCTCAGACCACATGCTTTCAATCAAAAGCATTGTGCTACTAAATTGTGGTATGCGGCGGGTTTTAGGATGGTTCCCATGAGCATTTACACAAGCATCCCGCACAAGCAAGCGAACATCACCAACACGATACAACATAGTTGCGACATGTTGCGACAAAGGGCCATACCTCACACACACATATTTATATATATATATAGATACATAACTAGATATATTGAAGACTATTAAAGGTTCATCATACTTTCTCGGGCGGCAGTGATGTCAAGAAGACCAATTCCTTCAGTTGAAGGGCTTCAAGAGTACTACTGCGCATGTACGACTGTTCCAATGATCACTTCCCTTGCGGTTTGGAGTATTCCGTCTTTGGCTTGGACACTTTTGGGACCAGTCCTTTCATGCAGTCGTTGAAGGGGTGGCAGGTCGGTTGATGGTGCAGCAGTCGGCCAAGACTCTTTCCAGAGGCAGAGGAAATGAGTCGATCAAGAACCGGTGCCAACATGGCATGCCACTTGGTCATCAACTTGTCCTTGCACATGAGTGGAATCAGCTTCAAGCAAAACCAAAGTTGCTAAATCCACTGCAGAACATGCGATCGTTGCCATCACGACGAACTGTAGGTACTTGTATTCATATGTACTCGCTATATACGCAATTATGCACATACACAAATACACACACCACTACGACTATGTATGCTATGCGCCCCAACAACCATCATCGTAGCCCCCAGTGCATGTCAGCATCTTCTAGGTCGAACTCAGGCAAACGATCAATCTTGGCCTCAGATTCAAGAAGCAACAAAGAATGCCCACGTCGCACCACAAAGAGAAGTCATTGTGCCAGGTTCTCCGCTTCTTTTGGATCGAGCGCTCCGTTCCGTGACCACCTCCCTGTATTAGGGTGGGTGTGGTGGGTGCTCTTTGAGCCTCCAGCTACGAACCGAAGGCACATTCTATCGACGCGCGCTTTCGATTCCACGTGCCAGGTTCTCCGCTTCTTTTGGATCGAGTGCTCCGTTCCGTGACCACCTCCCGCTTTAGAAGTCACCAAGGTTGAAGGAGACGGAGCTTCTGATCCGCTGGTGTCTTATCACCTGGCGTCCTTTCTGCCTTCGGTTTCGAAACCTTCTTCTCTTGGATCTCCTTATCCATGGCCATGGCAGCCTCCAACATGTCTTTCAAGACCAGGAAGTTCAGCTCGGAGAAGTCAATCTTTATCATCTTCAACTGGTCAAACTTTTCGTACCGACCTTTAGAAAGGTCATCCGAGGGTTCATTCTGTTCCCGGGGAATCCAGGCCAGGTCCAAGTCCAAGTTGTAGAAGTCGAGCTGCTTGGCCAGCTCCATGAGTACCAATGAGGCCGGGAACTTTGTGGTCAGGAACCTATCAATCAAGTAGGCATTCGACAGGTTGTCCGTGAAGCCTGTCACCGCCACACGTCCTGAGCCATTTCTCCATTTTGGCCCGGAGCAAAGGCCATGATGGCCACCGTGACCGCCAGCAGCTCGGACGACGATATGGTCCGAAATGGTTCCCCCTTGACATAGAGGAACGGTGCGCTGCTCCTCGTAAGCTTGACATGAAACCACCGAGCCAACTTTGGATCATTGGACAGGTAGGTTTCCCAGCCACCTATGGCCACCCCGTCATTGTCGGCCATGGCGTCGACTCTGAAGATCTCCCCCAGAACCTCAGGCTGTGAAGAGAGAGGCCTCATGGGCTCTGAAACGACCGTGCCCTCGAAGAACTTAATCGCCAATTTGCTCGCCAGGTGCAACTCGAAGAAGCTGCCTCCTTTCACCTGAGATGAAGCTGCATACAAGGGGGCTAGGAAGGGACGCGATCTCTTCGAGATCCCTGCCAAGAAGCCCATCCTTCCCAGCCCAGGTTTGAACTCACGCCCAAGCATTCGGCCTTGAGCTACAGTGTTGGCGGCCCAGGTGCACCTTCTTATTGCTGATCCCGATCTTCCACTGCTGGAGGTCTATGGTGTAGCCAATCCACTCTGTTCGAACCCCACCTCGTGTCTTGGACCACGACAATGGGATCTCCATCACCTCCAGGAACACAAACAAACCCAGAAGGTGCCTGTGGTACTGATGACCACTCGAAAACATCAGGCCGTCGTCAGCGAACAGGAGCAGGTAAAAGATGGCGCTCGGAGGCAGCAGCCGATGGAAGACTCGGAAAGCCAGGCCTGCAACCCGACCCCACCAAAAGGCAGCAGAGGCAACACCGAATGTGCCACGAGTGTTGACTAAGATCTCCTCCTCCTGGTCTAACCGGCAGGCCTGCAAGCCCCAGTCCCTAGGGTGAACAGTGAACCGGCGCTAGACGGTGAGCGGACTTGATGTCGAAGGCCAGCATGAGGCGCCGGGGATCCGCCTGATCTCTAAAAGCCTTGGTCACCGCCTCCAAGTCGTCGAATTGGGGAAACGTCATCTGGTTGGGCTGCTCAACCTGCGTGTTCACGTGCAGCCCATGGGTGGCATCATGTACAACTCGAACGTCGCCCCATTCCTTGTCCTTAGGCACCGCCCCCAATGAGGCCACCTGCAGGTCCTCTCCATATCGCCGCACAGCCTCCTCCTTGGACATCTTGATCATCCAACCCTTCGCCAGGTCCTTTTCGACGTGGTTCTTCACCTTCTCCATGTGGTCCTTCGCTGAGGCGTAATTCTCCCGCAAAGTGGGATCGCCCGGCCAATCCTCCTCCCAACGACCCGGTGCCGTGTCTGATGCTCCTCGGCCCTTCCTGTCATAGACTGCAGGCACCCATGGAATCTCATTACGAACGCCCAAGGGAACTCCCGTGGAGGCCACATCATTGAGAAAGCCCACCAGCGCGGCCCACGCATGAAGCCTCCTGTAAGCGATCTCTGTGTGGACATCCCCTTCCTTCCGGTCTGGGTATTGCCCCAAGCGCCTGGCGCAGACATCTAAGCGACCCCTCAGCTCCGGCACGATCTCCTGAAATGGGGACTCGGAATGCCTTCCTAACGCCAGCTCGGAGATAAGCTTCAGTAGCCCCCCCTTTCCCGCCTGCTCCATGAATGTGTCCACCGCCTGCCAGAAGATGCCAGCCAGCTCCTCGGCCTCCCAGCCCATCCACCACTCTTCTTGCCTTCCCCTTGTACCAGACCTGCATAGGGGTCCATGGAGAGGCCGCTAAGTGCCCTTCAGGATCTTTAGGAGGATGTCCTCTATGAACGCCACCATGTCCTCCTTCTTCCGGAATCGCTTCCCCTTGTACTTGCCCTTTAGGAGCCCCAGGATGACGCCTTTCGGGAACTCCGCCCTTTGCCCGCTCTGGCTCTTGCTCTGCCAGTTGCCCTTGAGGAACTCCAGGGAGATGCCCTTCAGAAACTCCAGCAAATTGTGCCCCGTGCCCCCCACCAGTTTCTGCTTCCACCTCTTGATGGATCCTCTTGACCCCCCGCTTGAGAAGAGAGTGAAAGAGGTGTCGAGCTAACCAAAGGTCCATAGCTGGAGGGTAGGCGGCTGCACCTGCTGTTGCGAATTGGTCATTGGGCAGGCGTCGAATGAGGCTATAACATGCGAGCGAGCGCATCGACAGGACCGAGGGAGCGGGCCCAAGTACGCGAAGGTCTTGGAAAAGGTGGGCAATCCGTCCCAAAGTTCATGAACCAAAGAAGGCAGGTTGAAAAGAAGACGGGTCGGTTTCTGTGACCGAGCCCCTAAGTGACACTGAAAGAAAGCTCCACTGAAAACTTGACCACTTCGCACCCAGTTTTGAATGGGCAGGAGCTGCCAAATAGATGCTGGTCTGGAGTGAGGCCCCCAGCGCTTTGTCGCACCCAGATCCTCCGGATGCTCTAAAATAAAGAAAATGCCATTCTCCATGCACACGGTGATGCATTGAAGACAAAATTGCACCATTGAATTGCTAGCCTGAATCTTTTTCAACTTTGCTCCTTCCAACCAGGGAAAACCCCATGGATGCTTGGCTGACCGCGAGGCTTGGGGCCCAGGCTATTAGCCCAAGGTGCGCGAGACCAAGTGGCGCACGGTGGCGACATGATCACTGCGTCAAAGTGCCTGGCCCTCAGCTTGTCCAGGATGTCGGCCTGTGTGTCTTCGTTGAGGAGGTCCTGCGTGCGATCCCGCAGGATGTCGAAGACCGTCGTCTCGACGGAGATGTTCTCAGTGGCCGATTCGGCTAAACGCCGCAGTACCTCAGGAATGCCAGTGTCCCTTTGGGGCACAGCAAACAAATAAAGGACTTTGAATTCACGTGCATCATCTTCCTTCTTCTTTGTCTCTTCGGGCGCTGACTGAGCGCCTAGTCACGAAGTGGCCCGGATCCAAACAGATGCGGCACACATGAACTCTGCCGCACGAGCCGCTGCAACCTTCGTTGTTGAAGGCAAAGCAAATCTGGCGTCCATCTGGCGTGCTGCCATGGAGGCCTCCTGACCTCTGCTTGCTCTTCCCCTTCTTCCCTTTTCCTTTTCCTTTTCCTTTGCCCTTGCCCTTCACAAACGGCACCTCATAGGGATGTTGACGTTCTCCTTTATGACGTTGACTGCTTGCAAATCCTTTGCAACCCCCCTTTGGTCAAGGAGACCCTGCATGTCAGGGGCAAGGCCGTCATGGCACGCGACGCTCCGGTCGGACCCCTCCAGGGTAGGCACTCCGGCCTGAGCCAAAACCATCCAAAGGGCTCCGTCCCACCACCAACAAACCGAACGACCGAACCACGAACCCGGACCAGGTTGGGCATCCTGCCCCCCCCAGCACCTCCTCACACCTAGTTTTCACTCACACAAGGTTGATCAGCTTCCAGCTTCAGACTCCTCGTCAGTTGAGGAGGATGCCGAATCACTTGGCACGTCGCCCTCCGGGCCTGCCTCCAAGATTTCTGCCATCTTTGCACGTGTCGAGAAACACGTGGAGCAGAGCACCTCGCCCTGCTTAGGATCCAGCTCTGGCCTTTCCATGCCGACGATCACGAACTCCTTGAAGTGGACCCCCGGTTGCCGATGGCAGCCTCCTGAAACATGTAGCGTGCGGCGTTTCCCACGACCCACAATGGCCAAGACATAGGTCCCCACAGGATACGCCGGCTCTCCCTCCGGGAGGTCTGCATGATCTTCCTCCTCAAACACCTCAGTAGGGGAGTCATCCGGGTAGAACCCCGGGTCTGGCGATGGCGCCGCGGGTGAGCTCCTGACCTCTTGCGACTCCTCCAGGTTGATCTGGTCCACCCCCTCCCCAAATGGCCTCGGAGGCAACCCCCAGTTCGGAGGCCCAATGCATTGCCCTTCGCGATTGGCCTGGGTGGCCGTCTTGTGGTGCACATCCTGGAGCCAGATGGTGAAATTATTGACCACTGCGCGATCATCCACCACATCCGACTGGCCTCGGATCTTCCGTGCCACCTCTCTCTGAGCGCCATGGATCATCTTCCGAGTGGTCGTGACATAGTCCTCGTCCACGGAGGGCTCCCATCTTCCCCAACGCCGTCTGACCTCTTTGCTGACGCCCACAGCAGCCGCCCAGCTGATCATGGCGATCCTTTCCGAATGCTCTGACCAATAGCTGCTGGACTCCGGCTGCAACAATTTCATGGGGCGTCCTTGACCCTGGATGGGAGCTCGCACCAAAGAGCCCTCGAGAAAGCCATCGCGTCCTGGTACTTCATCATCCGCCGCCTGAAGCCCGTCAGGTTGTCATTGGGAACCGGCAGCAGGAAGTCCTTATCCATGTGCTTTGCGTCCCTGGCCAAACTCACAAAGAGCTGCAATCCCGTGTGGATCCACTCCCGGTTGACCAACCAGCAGTCCTTGCCCACGTGGAACTGGATGATTTCAATGCGACGGCCGGTGCCGGTTTTGCTCCTCATGATGTCTCCTTCCAACCCGACCGCCGGATCGAACCTCAAAGTCGAGGGTGGCACCCCCTCCACGTCGTGACAACGGAGTGCTCCCCAAAGTTTGATCAACTTCGCCCATGCGAAGATCCTCTTGTAGTCTGCAGGGTGATGTCTGTGACCGCCACCTCAAGCTCTTTCACCGTCCCCACCGTGAAGCGAGCAGCCTTGATGACGCGGCGAGGAGCCCATGCCTGGCTTCGCTCGGCCTCGAGTAAAAAATGCTGGAGAGCAAGGGAAGCTGAGATCCGCTGTTCCATGGGCACTTCGGCAGCCAATTCGAGAAACGCTACTGCGGACCCTGGCACAGACTTGCCGCATGGTTCTTCCATACGAAGGGCTATATAAGCAATTAAATCACCTTCATGCCTGAGCCACCGCATGCCGAACACCGACTCCATGAAGACCTGCAGCAACTTTCCCAACCTGACATGTTGTCGCAGGGTGGATGCACGGCGTCCCATAGCAATTCGAGAGGCGAAGTAAGTGTACCTCTCTGGCTTCTTCTCCTTGATCTCCGCCAACCCAGTCACCTCCAAGAGCTCGATGAGCTTCCTCACCCAACGATGCCGTTCTCGTTCTTCAACATCTTGCCGAAGCTCAAGGGTAGGTTGAAGCCCAAGAAGACGATCAGCTCGAGTCTTCCACGAGACCCTCGGCAAAGACTTACGCGCCCTAGCCAACACCAAGCCGACCTCTGCGTCCCCGCGGCTGTCTTGTCAAGCTGCTTGTCTATGTAAGCTTGATCTTTGTACAGCAGTTTTTGATGCTGTAGGAAGACATGGTCTTCTAAGTCCAGTTTCGTCCTCTGTCGTTTTGCCTCGCGCTGCAACCACAGGAACTCTTCTTGAGTCCAGTCCTCAGCGATGCCGGGGAGCAGCGAGGTCACCTCCTCTTCCGGCATTCCATGGAAGAACGCAAGGCTGGAGCGCGTCCAACCCATGTCTACGAGCCGGCCCAGGATGCCCGGCTCCATGCCGTCTCCTGGCCCCACCCTGCTCTTTGAGCCTCCAGCTACGAACCGAAGGCACATTCTATCGACGCGCGCTTTCGATTCCACTTATCTATGATAAGGTAGCCATTTCTTCCGACTGCACCTCGCCGGACACCCTTCCCAGTACAAAATCCACGGCTTGCTTTGCCAAGCTCTTTGCAGCACAGCAACCCGCAATTGAAGCCAATCCTCAACTTTGCCCAACAATGTAACCTGACTCGGCATGCCAGCTGCGTGAGTTGGAGATCTGCATTCTGACAAGCTGCCCCAGTAAGGACGAGTTGTCAAGTTGTCTGACTGCTTTAATTTATATACCTGCTGAAGCCTTAAAACAGAAGCCTGGTAGTCGCAGGTTTGCTTTCCTCAGCTATGATGGGTTGAGATTGCAAACAAAATCAACAGGGTGTGAGTGTAGAGCTTAGTGAGCACCTTGCGTTTGTGCAACATCAACCAATTGACTTCCTGCATCCGCCCCCACGCAGCCTGCCTTGGGAATGCCGCACATCAAACAGCATACATACTCGAAGTAGGCCTGCAAAGTGGACATCATCGTCACCGAAGCTGCTATTCGGTCGTTGGCGGTCGTTGTGGTAAAGCTGGGCAACAGCCTTGGATGAACAAAGCTTGGCACACAAAACATGCTCCCACCACCACTTTCCACATACCTCTTCACACTTCTGGACCTGTGAAGATTCTTCACAGTGGAGACGGTACAGTATGACAGGGTGCCAGTTGGCCATTTCAGGATCCTTGATATTCTCCGCGATCTTGTCCTGAGGATATCTGAAGCCGTACACCGTCGACTTCGATCTAGAAGTCCCAACGCTCAAAGCTACACGGTCGACTGAGTCTTCACCCGTCACATTTCGCATGTCAAGACTCCAAACAGCTGGCAGCTAGTGTTCTACTAATGCAAAGTGAACCCATGCTCATCAAGATGCAGCCATGGCAAGGGCGAAGTTCCCAAAATCGGCTGTGAAGAGTGTGCCCATCATGTAAATCACCAAGGTCTTCTTGCCTCACACCACACCAAAGTTCTTGTGAGTTCGGCGTAAATGAACGCCGTGCAACGGTGCAACGCCATGGTTTTAGGCTTTGAGTTGCAGGAGAGGGCTGGCCCAGGATTCGTGGAAAAGAACATCAATTTGGACGTTGACGGTGGAACAATGTCCTTTATTGAAGGAATCTCAGGCTTTGCATGAAGCCTAGGAGCAAGGACGCTACTAGGGGCTCCTGGCCTTACTACTAGGAGCAAGAAGCTACTAGGAGCAAAGGGCATCGCTATGTGATGTGTGGAGTGGATCGAGTGGGATTGGCTCTGCCTTTGAAATCCACGAAGCGCTCTCTCAAGGCTTCTGCCCGGGCTTGGATGTAGAAGGACATCCTCAGTTTTGCGCTTTGAATGCAGCTTTTTAGGGGGGGTTGACTGGGGGACAATATCCAATCAAGTGATTTCAGGAATCAAAGTACCAAACAAATCTTAAGAACATCCAACAATCCATTTCGATTGTGGCATTCCTGAGGTGGGACACACTATCCAACAATCTCAGGGATCACATGGAACCAAAGCATCTGAGGAGCTGTGTGAGGATAGCTTGCCAGAAATCATCGGGTCGCAAGACCAGCTCGTGATGGTGATTGTAAGCCTCGAAGACTGTGGACACAAGGCCCCATTGTGCAGGCAACATGTGGTTCGAGGGGCGTTCGCTGATAGTGCCTGGCAAGAACTGAGAAGTTCTAAAATCATCTAGAATTTCAAAATGAACTGAATGGGAACACTGCAGCTAGACTTCCGATGAACAAGGGAATCAAAGGAATCTCTGAGAAACCTGTGAAACTCCAGCTGCTAGATTCGACAAGCCTGAATGTTGGATGATGATTGGCCTCTTCTCTACCTCCTTCTCTTCAGGCTCTTTCCCCAACATCTTGCGACGGGAAATCACGTCCTCAAAGAAAGTTTTGGTCCCGGCACTGAATGATTGAACAAATTTGATCTCTCTCTCTCTCTCTCCCCCTCCCTCCCTCCCTCCCTCCCTGTTCATTGCGATTAGGTTGGAGGCCATTGCTCTTAGATTAGAGAGGGAGGGAGGGAGGGAGGGAGATTTGATCTGCGCCTACATGAATGCCAAACTCTGCACAAAGGGGAGCAACATCACAACCTAATGACAGTGCAGTGACTAATTCATAGGGGTTCCTTTATCTTAGGGCAGGGCTTCCAAGACCCAACTTCTGCAGGGCTTCCACCAACTTCTTCTCATCTTGAACCAAATGCCGGTGACCAAGCCACTTCGCTACCAAAGGCTTTCTTCAAAGTCCTGCTCTCTTGCAGAATGACACCCAGCTCCGTCACAGTGCCCTTCACCTTCTCGGACTTCACCTTGTTGCCTGACACGGTGGAACTTGGTGAACAGGTCCCTTCTGGGACGACGCGTCATGGCTTGTCAAAGGGGGATCACTTCAAGAACAGGCTTCACCATGGAAAGCAAATGAGGGTAAGTCATGGACCACCTGGGAAAACAATGAGCAACCTGTGTGCACCAGAATGTTCCCTTGTTCTCCATCCATCATATGACAAATGATTAATACTTCCTGGACCTCAAATGACAAGTCCCTGCCCTAGTGCCCCATAGTGCCCCTCAGCTCCCACTGCTCCGCCAAGACTCTGGTGGCCACGAAGCTTGCGAGCGCTGGCGTTTCCATGATGCGAGCGCTGGGGGTGCTTTCAACCGGGAGCTGCCGAATGCTGAACGGACGCGCATCTCCGAAGAAGTCGAGACTTAAAACATTGAGAAAAGAAAAACGACCAAGAGCTTTGGGCATACTTGTCACACTCAGACTAGACAACAGGCCGCTTTGACAGATGGTGGCTGTTTGAGAAGTTCACTCTCATCTCACCATCTCCATCCACGCTGGTCTTTGTTGCACATGGTGGGCTTAATACACTACAATATTTATAGTTATAGCATGTTATAGCCTGGTGAGTGGTGTGTGATCTGCAGCCACTTCTTCGGGAGGTGGCATTGCCCATGGCATCCCATGGCAAGACGGCACCAAAACAACAGCCTCGCCATAATTAAGAGCCACACCCCAACTGGTCTGAATCCGGTCATTTGTCGGTCCTGGAGCCCATGCCGTAGTAATCCTGGAGCTGCCACGTCTGAATCGGGAATGTCGGATTCACAAGTGAAGATGGGTCCAGCCCTCACCAGGGCTTCTTTGACACAACTTTTTGGCTACTCTTGGTGTTCACTAATTACGCGACACTTTACGCGACAGAGTATGACACAGCACCACAGCTAAGGCATCATTCAACCAGATCTGTAACCGTACCTCTTGCCCACTAAAGCTACTCAACTTCAACAGATCATTTCCCATACAGCCTCCCTAAAACAACCCGTCCCCGAGATTCCAAATTGCATCAAATTGCCCGCGATTTTGCCTCTCCCTGTCCCACTCCCGACCTGATCCTCAGGCTCTGCGAGTGCGCGGGCGTCATCTTCACTCCAAATCTTGGAGAAGCCCACGAACTTGGTCACCTCGGGAGAACGGTCCGGTGGGTACGGTCGGGTCGCCCTCACATATATAGCACATGGACGTGCGCACACGTAGAAGCCTCACACAGCCCACATGTGGCAGAGTGGGAGATTGTGCTCAACTGCTGTACTTCCCACCAGCCACAAAGAAGCCTCACGAAGACACCCTGACTCCAAGCCAGTGGGGCAGCCTGCATATAGCGGGTAAGGTTCATGGCATGGGTGACCCACTGCAGCACCAAGAAGTTCAAGTAGTAGTGTGTGGAGGTTGGCATCCTGATGTTGCACATCGCGCTCACAACAATTTCTTCATTGCAGCAACTACAACTATGGCAACCATTGGCTTGGCTTAGCTTGTTCCAATCGCATTAAAGCTGCTTCTCCGCCAAGACCATGGGCAATTGTGTTGGCTGCTTCGCGACTTGCTCCACGAAATTCACAAAATCTTGGCCTGTAGGGGTCTGAATGCCTCTGATGTCCATGCAGGTCCGCCGATCTATCTTTTGCGTTTGTCACGGTGGGGGAGAAATTCAAACAGTCCCGCATGATGGGAGACTCATTTTCTGCCTGCTCTCAAATTGCAAGAAGCTTGCTGGAACCTTTACACTTCACTAAAAGCGAGCGCAAGGTTTCAATTGTAAAAACACATGCGCTGCTTATCTAGCAAATCAAGCTTCCAATTCTAAACTATACCCTGCAAGTGAATTGGCAGCCTAAACTGCTCAAAAGTTACACTGTCTATGCACAGTGCATTCAATAAATGCTCTTGTGGCCGTTTAAAACTTTTGAAAGCGACAGACTTCTGTATCGTCGTGCATGCTTGCCCGTAAGGTCCCTGTGCGAGCAGCCACTAAATCGTTCACCAACAGTAGGGCCAGTATGGGCAGTAGCCCGGCCGATAACGGTAGGGGCGTGGACGATAGATGGGGCGGTAAGGCCTTCGCCGGCCCCAACCACGACCGGGGCGTCGGCGACCCCAACGACGACCGGGGCGACGGCGACCTCCTCCCCGCCGGCCTCCACGGCGGCCGCCGCCACGCCCGGGGCGAGAAACAAAGGATCTGGGCATCGGAGCATTTGGGGCACCGGGGGTGGTGACCTCTTTCAAACCGGTTGTTGCCGTTGTCTCCATCGGCTTTTCTGCCTCTTTTCCTGTCTCTTCCAGATCGGCCCCCACACTTTGGCTTTCCCAATTTTCTGGGCCGTCTCGCCCTGCTGCATAGCTGTATGGAATCCATGGAGCCTCCTCCCATGGATCTGGCCCATCCACAGCACCCCACTCCCACTCCCATGGCTCTGGAGCTCCCCAGAGTTCGACATCATCCCACTCCCAGTCACCATCTTCAAAGGGCTCATCTTCATCTTCCTCCTTGGGTGCACCTGGGGTTCTAGGCGCAGGTCCTTGAACCTTGGCACTTTGTTGTGCTTCAGCCTCCTTCGCCGGAACGCCAATGGCACTTGGTTTCACAGCCTCAACATGTTGTGATGCTTGGCCCTCTGGCTTCATGGCGGCGGTCTCTTTCAACGGAACTCCAGTTTCGCTGGGCTCGGGTGTCTCATCCTGTTCCGCATTCTTGTTCTCAATCTCCTTTGCCGGAACGCCGATTTGACTTGCTTCCGCTGTCTCTTGACCTTCTGGCTGGTTGGTCTCAGTCTTTTCAGTCTCTTTCGAAGGAATTCCAGCTACACTTGGCTCCGCCGTCTCACCTTGCTCTGGTGCTTTGGTCTCAAGCTCCTTTGCTGGAACTCCTACGCCATCAGGACCAGGTTGATTTTGTGCTGGCTCTGGTTTTTGGGGTTCAAGCTCACTTTCCGAACCTTCACTGCCTGTGTGTGGTCCCTCAGTGCTTTTCAAGGCTTCGGGCTGCTTGACCGATTCGCGTGCTGCCTCTCCACGAAGGTGCTTTGCTGGACCCTCGCTGTGGACTGGAATGCCAAGCGCCGCGAGCGCTAGCACAAGGAGAAAGGCTGAAACCTTCATGAGCGGAGATCCTGTGGTGGAGGTCCAATTGTCACGTCTCAAATCTTGGGCCAAATGGCGTGAAGGAAACTCACCGATACTCACTGGCAATGCCTGGTTGTCAAATGGGTTGGCTCAATCGACAACTTTGACCTGTGCCATCGAAGCTCTTCCCGCCTACCACTGTGACACCGATCACAAAGAAGACCATGAACCAGAAGTACCAATTCCTCGATGAGATTTGAGTGATGACTGCTTGCAGAAAGAGTGCACAACATTCAGAGATCAATATGGCCAAGTTGAAGCTCAGATTCTGAAGCTCTAGTTGGTTCTTGACCTCCGACTTGAAGTTGAAGAGCAAGGAGAAGATGTTGATTAAAACCTGGCGACGCTCGGTCTGTTCACATCTGTAAGGGCTTCGTGTTTATGTTGCGTAATGTTATGTCCCTGCAGCTTGGCGCTTCAAGTCAAGGAGGGCACACCGTTGGCGCGAAGGACAGGAAGATCAAAAGGCCCAAGGTGGGCGCATAGGCCTGGGACAGGTGAACTCCCCGGGTCGACTGACAAACCTTATCGCCGGGACTTTGCAACGTGGACTCTGGTGACGGATCTTTCGCAGAAAGACCTCGCATCGTTTCTTATAGCCTCTTGTTACTAGTAGTAAGGCCAGGAGCCTCTAGTAGCGAACATTGTTCCCAGTAGCGAGGCCAGGAGCCCCTAGTAGCGTCCTCCTAGCAGCGATGCCCTTTGCTCCTAGTAGCGCAATCCGATGATCCGTTCCCGGGACTCCGCCTCCCAAAGGCTCTGGAAGGGGCCCAGATTCACAGCAGTTGCCAAGTTCGTCACCTCGACCGCAACAAATGATACAAATGTGTGTCATTTCGGCGGCCGGTTGGACTGTCCCACACTTGTGCTCAATGCAAGGTAGGAGTAAGACTGGCAAATGAGAGGATGTCCTCATCAAAGCATTGATGCACCAAAGCTCTCTGTACTGTGTGATTGTGATATGTCCGAGTATGCCATCAATATGGAAAATATATAAATCAAGTGTATGAATTAATATATATATATAATATATAATATGTTTAGTTTGTGTGTTCGTCACACATGGACTGGTCGAGAGGGGACTTTCGACAGCTCTTGAACTCAACCTATCCCTCCTCCAAAGAGGGCCCATGAGGATCTTCTGACCCGCAAAGTCTTCAGGGAGGTTGCTACGACACGAGTTCCACCATATTCCTACTATCCAACAAAATCGCTTCCAAAGGTAGTAGCTGGTGAGAAACACTTTACTTTTGATCAATCACTCATGCATCATGCATCCATGCCGTCCCAAAGAATGAATCTGACTAGTCGCGAACAGGCAGAAAGGTGTGAAGGCCACGTAGAGGCCGAAGACCAAGCCATATCCAAGCAATCGCTTACCTCGACTTGCAGCACGGGAATCCTATCCAATTGTTCCACACTCTGTCGCTTGCCGATCAAAGCAAGGGCTATACTATATACCTTGCACGCGTTTCCTTTTGCCAACAATCTGCGGCAAAAAGAATGAGCTGCAAGCCCCCAACCATATCAACCATGAAGATTAGTCTATAATTTGCTAAGTATTCCAATATCAAACAAATGCACCTCTCCCTTCCGGTGCATGCCCATAGCATTAGCAACTTGTCAGCTTGCAGGGCCCAAGTGTGACACCCATCAACATCAATCGCATCTTTTCGGGAAAAAAGCTTCTCGCTCATGCTCACTCAAGCTTTGGTTTAGCTGAAACTGCCAAGTCACCACTGCGCAAATCCACGTTTACCTTCATATCAGACCAAATCACTGCCTCGGCATCGCGCAGTGGCTACGCCAGGATGGCGCACGGGTACATAGGTGCCGAAGAGACTTCAAAAGCATAAAGGTCCTCATGATCCTCATGTTGTTACAGATTTTTCAAGATAGGGTGAGATCAGATTTTAGAACACCAAACATTTCCTCTTGTACGCATGCTCAGGAGTCCTTGTACAGAACCATAGTGCAGTAAATCACGGGGCTGTTAGCCTACTTAGACCCTTCTGAACGATGATGATGATGATGATGATGTTGATGATGATGATCGCAACCAGCATCCCAATAAATCCTGCACGATCTGATCTCTTTTTCACCGTCCCTCGACCCCTTTTCTCGCCCAGATTCGGAAGGAGCCGGCGGAAGTGTGACTTGCCAAGAATTCCGATCCTTGGAGAACCTGAGAATTGCGATCCGTCACGTCGGAGGTCCGGAGGTCGGATGATGTCCGATGACGATATGGTACCCCCGATATGATGTCCCACTGAGATCGGTGCAAGCTCAATGACACGAACAAGAAGCGTCATGTGCAAGACTATGTACTTGGTGTTCTGAACCTAGAGCGTTAAACCTTCGGAGAGTAAACACCGAAAGGGGAAGGTTCCAACCAATCCAACATGGTTCAACACAAGCTTTGCGGTTTGTCTACTTGCGGTCGGCTCCCGAACCAACCATATGCCATGTTCCGCTTCCGCTGTCAATCACTCCCACCAAGCGACTTCACATTCATCGCAACACGTGCATCTCTCACATCATTGAAGGTGACAAAGCCGCAGTGGCCATTCACACCACCAACCCCAGCTTCAGCATCCTGCGAAGGAGCAGCTTGCTCGCCAACAAACCAATCCCCTCCTACGTCCCACACATGGCAACCCACAAAGAGGTGTCAAAAATAACACTGGAAGGGACAATGTCTGGAATAAATTTGCGTTTGGAGATGTTTGGAGGCATATCAATATTATGGTTTTGTAATGTTTTGTCTTCCCCTGCGGCAGGATATCGTCGAGTCACAAGCGCCTCGCAGCTTGTTTTTGATGAGTCCCGCTTACCTGTCAAGGAGGTCTCCGGAAGCTCAAGCCTACAAGACCTTTGATACTTGTTGAGGAACTACAGGGTTCTCTCTCTTTCAGGCAAATCCTCTCAACATGACGGCCGCAGGTCCTTGATAAAGTTCTCTCGGTACTCAGCCGCCTCTTTCCTTGAGAAAAACGCGACTGGCTAGACATCTGATCTGCCGCAACCCCAACGGTTCTGGGACTCAAAACCATGAGAAAAGTTCTGTATGTTGTTTCTTTTCTTCTGGCATTCTGTGACCAAGGTTTGAGTGCACTCTTACGACTGCGCCAAAGATCTGCTTGATATCCCTTTGCTTGGTCCAGTACTCGATGGCATCCTCAGCCCCACCGCCCATGGGGCTCATCATACTCTTGATCTGGGGCCGGTTCTCAGCCTTGCAGGCTCAAACGCTTGGTCCTACCGAAACCAGCAGGAACACGCCCCGAATTCGTTGAGCATGCTTGGATAGAGCAAATGACTTCCATGACGCGACGACTTCCATGGTGTTGCCCAACTTTCTGTCCCTAACAGAAAAGCACCTCACGCCCGGCATTCTCCCATTCCTGCTCAGCCTGCGAGAGATCATTGCAAGCGCTGCAATTGAAAGGCTCACAGCAAGGCTTGCTTCTATTTGTGTTGGCCAGCCAAGCCAAGGTTCACCGCAAACAGTCTGCAGTGATACTTTCTGTGGCTCCAGTGACAGTGCATCTGGGCACATGCGCCTAAAATTCACTTTTTGACAATCATGAACATACAATATACAGTATCATTTGCATGTTGTGTCTGATCATTTGTTGATCAAACATTTCACCCCATCAGTTTCACCAATGCCGTGCCTTGGCCAAATTCATCATGGCGTCTCGCAGCTCAGCATACACGGTCTCCAGCTGGGAGATGTGCTTGGCCACGTGAACTGCCTGCGCTCGGATGAGAACGGAATGAGCACGGAAGAAGGTCGCCGATGTGAAACAATGGTCGTTCCGTCGATTTTTGGCATGGAAACAGCAGTGGAAGGTTGACTTTGCCCATCAAGCACGCAAAGAGAGACTCAGGCACTCGGGCCTTGATGGAGTCCTTGCTGAACATACGGCTGAAGTACTCTTTCACCTGCGAGAACCCGACATTCACCTCTTCACCAGTGGCATTGGGTGAGGCCGGTGCTCCATACGTTTTAGAATTCTGTTGCTTAGTGGGGTGGAAATCTCATCGCTGCGTGTTACCCTGATCCTAAAACCCTAAATGCTGTCGGCCCCAGGTGAGAGATGGGACTTTATGTAGCTGTTTATGTCTGCACTCAGAGATGGGACTTTGCTGGCGCTAAGTGGTCTCCTGGCCTGCGCTTCTGTCTAACACTATAGTCGTTAACAAAACACTAACTAAGCAAAGCCTTCCCACATTGGGCCAGTGCTTCTTTTGCAATCACCAGGGGCCCCTAATTATATATCTCTGTTGAGCGGTGAATGATTTGTTGTCCTTTTCTTCCGTGTTATGTTTCCTTTACAGCTGCAACCGCTTTCTTAGTTGGCACCCGCCATTGCAACACTCAGAATATCTTTGGGAATTTGTTTTTCTTGCGCAACACTTGGGGCTCTGTCCGTTATTTGCTTCGAGGGTAAGTCCGTGACGCTTATATAGATCTTTCCTGTGGAACGCACTTCCACCGAGCAACCGTGTTTCGATCCCATGAGCAACTGGTATGGAGCGGCAAAATATATTGGCATCGCTTGTTTGATCTGTTGTTTCATTGGACAAGGCCCTTCAAATGCTTTACTTTATGCTATGTTTTCAAACTATAGCTTGCAATGCATTTTCCGTGTAACTTTTGTTGTCTCTAGTTTAATCTCAAACGGATGTAGCTGTCGGTCTGGTCATCTATATATGCAACAATTATATGTATCCTCAATCGCGGCTCTTCGGCATCACTCCAAAATGTGATAGAAAAGCAAGTCCCTTCAAAATCGCTTAGGAATCGTTCCTGTACTCAGGTACGGGGCACATGTAATTGTATGGTATATGTATATATAAATCTGTCAAGGAAAACACATAAATTATATATATATATATATTGTATTATATGGCTCAAGCCATTTCAGCATCAAGCCCTGTATCCTTCGGATACAGTGGCAGACCAGACGGTCACGGACACCACGTGCCAGAGGAGCACGCAGGCCTGATCGAGGAAGGCGACAAGCTCCATGAGGAGGCACTACAAAGTGTGTGAGCACTGCCGCTGCAGTTGGATTTGGGAGGATCGACTGATCAATAAGCCCAACATGCAATGCAATCAGTGCGGAGAACCATGGCAGGCGACTTTGCTTCCTGATTTGAGACGGAAGGTGTCATGGGCAAAATGGAACTTCAACGGCAATGGAGCACGTTGGCCCAAGAAGACCTACAAGGATGCCCTCCTGGAGGCGCCACCGGGACTCCAAGGAGGCCACAAGGCCAAAAGACCCAAGAAAGGCAAAGATGGAGGAGGTTTGCAAAAGGCCCTCAAGGAGCACTGGGACCAACTCCCGGAGGCATTTCGGACCCAGTGCACGGCATTGGGGTGGCAAGTGACGGAGCCGCCGGTGTCCCAGGACTTGCCAACCTTGATCAAAGAGCACCTCCAGAGTTTGCCAACAGACTTGAAAGAAGCAGTAGAGAAGATTGTTGAGCCTGACAAGCCAGAACCCACCCTGTCCACGAAAGTCAAGCAGGCAGTTGGAACTTTGAAACAGCTGTCAGAAAAGAAGTCGGCTTT